TTGCAATATTTTGAATGTTGCAAAGAGATATGGCCCTTCATCTAGCTTCTGACATCAAAAAAATATTAAAAACAAAACCAAATAAACTTATGATAGCTGTTTATATGAAGAAGGTTAATAAAAGTCATAAAATGGTTCCATGAATAACACAGGTAAGATCATATGGCGAGCAGTGCAATTACAATGAATCCAAACAACCAATAGCCCCTAAATAAACCCAATGGCGACTGCACCAACAACTTATCTGTAGAACACTGTACTATGTCGATGAACAATTCACCAGCGTATGATCACTTTCATGGCGTAATTAGAGAAACTACAGGGTAAAAATATCTTCTTGTCTTAATGCTGCAGCAGTATCAATACGTTCGAAAAGGTTATAATTTAATAACTTAAATTACTTAATTGTTTTGTATATATAATATTTATTTATTGCTATTGAACTGTCTTAGAGTTTAAAACAATTTTCAAATTATATTACAAATAATATTAAAGTTCATTATTTTAATAACAATCGGAAATGCACAATATATAATAAACAACATTTAAGTATATATTGATTTTACTGTATTGTATTATAGACTGCGTGTAGTATGTTATGTACTATATTATAATTCGTAGCATTAAAATACTTAAATATTTGCAAGTGCTTTGGAAAACACTTTACGTTTTATATACAAGTCCAGAAATTTATTATAGCATAAACAACACTTTTATACACATATATGATATAGGCCAATATATATATTATATGTAAATCAGTTTTATGCTATTATTTTTATTGAATAAGTGTAAAAATTTGTCAACAATTGAAATATGTTTAAAAATTATAACATAATTGACATTTGCTTCGCGTATAAGTTAATTTTTTTTAGAAATAAAAATAAAATAATATTTTACAAAATCTATTGTTTGCTGTTATATTTAATTAAGAATTTAAGTGATTGTACTTTGCCCTTTTACTCTAATTAATTTGCTATTAATGTGTTTTTTTTTTGTTTATAATGATAAAAGTTTATTTAGAAACTTAACCGTATACTACAGAATTCATTTCGGCATTAAAATTCTACTTATATTATTAATAATTATTTAAAAAAAAATAAATATTCACATAATTTTGATATGAAATTGTATGGTTTTAAATATTGCAATATAAACATTTTAGTTTAGGAAAAAAAAACTTAAAAACGTAGTCAATATAATTAAAATAATATAAAATAAAATACATTTTTTTGATTCAAATAGCAGGATGTAAGTAAAATATATAAATAATATAACACTTTGTTATAAAATTAAATTACAAAATTTAATAATTCACACAATATATAACACAATTATGTGTTATTTAGAAAATATTCTCAAAAATGTTGAATTCCATTCACAAATGGGTACTTAGAATTCTTCAATCTAAAAAATACAATTTTTATTAATAAATTTTAGATAATTAGATAGTTTTAGATAATTAAATTTAATAGATAAATTTTAATGAATATCAATTGTTTGCTTCGTTATATAAATTTCAAATTAGTTAATGCCTAGGGATAGGAAGTTTCACTATATAAAAGTTATAAAAGTGCTGTTGTTAAGCACTTAATATACAATTTATTTTTTATTTATATTGATAAGAACTCAAACTATCTTATGAATTTTATAAAAGTAATTTTTAAAGCACTACAAAATTTAATTACTTTAAGGGATTTAGTGACACGACCAGACTACAAGTCGAAGATTACAAGAATAAGACTATAAGACCAAGACTATAAGACCGCCAACTCTAGTGATTAGGTGAAAAAACGAAGTGATTATCTGATAGCGCAACTGTGAGACATAGATTAGATTTTTCTTACGCTTAAAATTAATATTAATTTAAAATTAAAAAAGATGAAATCGAATATTTATAGAATATATTAAATATATGTAATATATGTTATACCTAACTTGTATGTAAAAAGAGGGTTCTCAAACAGATTCACACTATACAAAATCTTGTGAGGTTGAAAAGCACACATCGTATATGGAAGTAGATTCACCTCATTTAATGTGATCTAATATATGTCATCAGGCGATTAAATATTAATCGTTAAAACTACCCATGTATTCGTCTTATAATCCTTACGTGTTATCTGTTTTTCAGATCCCGACAGGCCACAACAACAACAACATGAAAGACTAACTCGAAAGGCATTATTCAGAATACACCTTAGATGCGTTCGTTATAACTGTTTTTAAACCATTATAAATATAAGTTTTATAAAACTTTTTCAATAATAGAAATAATAATAGGACAATAAATACTTTAATAGTTTATATGGAATTCCAAAAGACTAACTCGGAATCGTATCAAATAGATAAAATATTACATAAAAGAACAAATACACACTTTATAACAAAGATAGGGTTGAGACAGATAATTGTAGTTGAGACAATCACAGCGACTGCAATATACAAAATCTATAATTCCCCAAAAACAATAAAATATATTCAAATTAAGACTAAAATTTACCTACAATATATTAAAAAAAATTGACACTAACTAACCAGGCCATCCTGGAAAATGAATGCTATATTAGGACATAATGATTACACTATTACAAAGTTAGATTTTTTTTACTAAATATTATGTAGATTTATTAGTAATCTCACCAATTTCCAAGTCCAAAATTTTGAGAATTAGGCGGCTGTGGAAAGTTTTTCTGGAAATTATTTCTACCATTTCCGGCTGCATTGTTATTTCGAAAGTTTTGATTGAATGAATTTCCATTTCTATCACTACCACCGCTGAAACCAGTTCCGCCGCCGGCACGTCTGTTATTGAAATCGCCTTGATTTCGATTATAAGGACCACCACGATTATTTCTATAATTATTGTTGGTTCCCCTAAAAACGTATATTCAATAACTTAACAAATAAATTACAATTAACAAAAATTACGTACATTTTGTTTTGTAAATTTGGTGGTTGCGAGAACATATTTTGACCATGTAAACTATTATTGGGTGCTGCACCGCCCATATTAACACCTACTCGTTGAAATGGATTTTTGGTTGAATTGCCTTCATTTAATTGATTACCACCACGACTGAACTGATTACCATTTCTCATCGGGTTATTGTTCGGATTGCCATCATTAAATTGATTATTACCACGACTAAACTGATTAGGATTTCTCATAGGATTATTGATTGGATTGCCATCATTAAATTGATTACCACCACGGCTAAATTGATTACCGTTTCCACTATTAAATTGACTTTGTTGCTGATGATTTGCATTAGGTAAAGCAAAACCACGTCTATCTTGTAAATTAGCATGATTTGGACGACCTGATCTACCGAACTGACCATTACCATTGTTTGTGTTTCTTTGATTAGCATTAGAACCAAAATTGTTGTCATTTTTGTGGTTACGAAAGCCTCCTGTTGTTGCATTGTTGTTATTGCCGAATTGATTATTTGTTGGACCTGGACCTGCCCTTGAATCTTGATTACGCATGAAATTTATTTGTGGACCTTGATTAAAATTGCCACCTTGATTTCTATTAAATCTATCATTTTTTTGAGGATCACCAGTGAAATTATTTCTGTTGGGTGGTTGTTGTGTATATGGTGCACTGCGTTGTTTGTAATTATTATTTCGTGTAGAACCGCCATTGAAATTTCTATTTCTTCCACGGTTATTATTGTTATTGTTAAAGCCTCTATTATTACCTATAATTTATATAATAAATAAAGTGTTTTTATCAGTAAAGTGTAAGTGTAAGTTGTGTACTTACCTGATCCTTTTAAATTATCATTCATATTGTTGTGATTACTTTCGGTTCCAACAGTACCTGTAATTGCTTTATTTTTTGGGCGTCCTTCTTCGACAATAATTTTCTGTCCCTTAAAGTCGCTATCATTTAATGCTGCAATGGCATTTTTGGCCATATCAATGGTTTGCATATGCACAAAGCCACAACGATTCATAACATCACACTCTACCACAACACCATACACCTCGAAGAGCATACGTAATTCATGCGGCTTTGAGCCTTGGGGTAAACTTCCAACGAAAATCTTAATAGGGGGCTGCTAAATGCAAGTAACATAACATAATTAAAAATAACATTCACTTAGAGAAGAAATAAATTAACACTTACTGGCATAATTTACAAAGTGAAAAATGTAATGAGATCCGAAAATATTAATACCGAAGCGTCGTCACGATAAAGAAAACAATTGTAATATTTATCGATAACTGCGAATCATAGCTTATGAATGTATGGGATTTTTAGCATTTCTAAAATTGTTCTTTTTGCTAAAAAATTTATATATGGTATATATGATATAAAATTTTCTATTTAAATATATTTATTTATATGTTATAATTAGAGCAAATAATAACAGTATTTTTATAAAGATATGAAATAAAATTATAATAATTATTTCAATAATTTTTTTTTTTAATAATAAATAATTTTTATATTACCCTATGCTGAGAACACAATCAGCACTAAAAGAGACTTAAATTAATAGGTATATATTAGTATTATTAGTGAAACAAATTCTTTTATCTCGTATCAATGTAATAAATCATATTAACATTATCTTCACACCCAGTTTAGGCTATTTATATTTTTAGCATTGTTCATTATCATATCATATATTAATAAATATGATCAATGAATATAAAAATAGCAATAAATGTTATGCAATTGTAGATTTATTACAATACTAGATTTGTTGCCATTAAAACGCAAGGTAATACTTGAATTTTGTAAAAACTGTAGCAACACCAAGCACAATAATAAAACAGATAATATACAAAACGATATATATTCTATTTACGTGTTATGCCTAATGTCCCTCGACAATAAATGCACACAGATTGAGTAGTTTAAAATTACTAACTTTTCTAGAAAGTTGTTTCTTTATTTATATAAAATTATCTTACAACTAACTTAACTAATTTTCTATCAAGGTTGAAATAATATGTTGTCAGTTATCGCTATCTTTAGTGGATTGTATTATTACATTTTATTGTTGTTTGCAAAAAGGTTCAAAATGGGATACAAGGACGGAACTCCCGGCACTTGGGATTTTTCCTTGTATTGTCTTATTTTCATAATTGTAATTAGGGTCGTGTGCGAGTTAGGCTAAGTTGCGTTCTAAATGAGGGAAATACTAAGTTGTGCCGGTAATGTAGAGATGTGTCGATACGTGTTGATAAATGGCTAAATGTGTGCAGTGCAAAAAATCCCAAAAAATCTCCCATTTGGTTTAGCATCAACTTAGCCTAACTCGCACACGTCCTAGATACGGTGCCTTGTATTTATAATTAATAATACAATTTATCTATACAAAAGTATTTAATGAAATAATGGAATTTCCCTTTGGATACTTAAATGATCAACAATGTCCTTTTCAAACAACATCCGGTTGACGATAACATTAAGGTCGTGTGCGAGTTAGGCTAAGTTGCGTTCTAAATGAGGGAAATTCTAAGTTGTGTCGATAATGTATTGATGTGTCGATACGTGTTGATAAATGGCAAAATGTGTGCAGTGCAAAAAATCCCAAAAAATCTCCCATTAGGTTTAGCATCAACTTAGCCTAACTCGCACACGACCTAAGTTTGGATTATTTATCATTTAAAATAAACAACATTATAAGCCGTTTTTGTTGCTTTGTCTATTAGTTTGTAAGACAAACTTAAATTGATAAATATGTGGATCAAATCCACATAACATACGCGTTTCACAGAAGATTCTAAATTCTATGTTATGCATCTAATTAAAACTGAATTAGCAATGAATTAAATTAATTAAATAATTTTAATAATATAATATTTTGGCGTTAAAAAAAAAATTGTATAATTGGTTTGAATTAATTTTCGATATATATAAATAAATATTTGTAAATTTAAACAAAACATTGAACATAATCATTGAAAGTATTAAACAGAGCTTAATAATATCGATTGCTGTTTTTGACATTTGTCATTTTTGTTTACGTTTTGGATGGTGCGAAATTTTTTCCTTTTAATATTAAACAACTGTTATCTCGTTGCATACATGTAGTTCTGATATTAATTTATTACAAATCTTAAAAATATTGATTGCATCAATTATTTATGCTTCCTTGTTATTCATTTTCCACTTTTTTAACGAAATGTAAGCAAAATTGTATTTAATCAAAATGGCCAGCTTAAATCATTTTTTTAGTGCGGTACTTCTATTTAGCGTAAAAAATGAGTGTCTTGAATGAGCTATTAGTTTTGATACTTGTAATTTGAAAAATAATTTAGTTAGAAATTCAAGTCAAAGATATTTAAGTGACTATATATTTGTAATTAAATTTTAACTAGATGTGGCACTAAAAATATAAAGGCTTTGGTAGCACTAAATTGTGCTTTGAAAAAAATAGTTTGACGTTTATTCCAAAAAAAAAAAAATCAAATACTGAGGCGTATATATTTAAAAATATAAATATTTTAAAATTTAATTTAAATAAAGCTATTTCTCAACAATGATCGAGGAAGATGATTACTTTTCCAATATAAGTTACAGTAAAAATATAGATTGCATTATGCCAAGTATAGAAATGCTAATAAACTTTCGTACAAATGGCATTCAAACAAAAAAAACTTGTTTTGTTTACGCAGAAAAAATGGATTTCAAAGGCTTAGTTGTAATTAAAAACATTACAAAATAATTTACAAATATTTAATTAAAATTTTTCATTAATCAATATAGCAACTAAGAGTGACAGAAAAAACGGATCAAAGACGTATGTGGCTGTGCACGATTGATGGTAGCAATTTTCATGAGCTCAAGCAGGATCAGTCATTACATGTAACCTTCAGTGGTTTTATTGAAAATTTAGTCAAAATTCTTCAAGATTGCCAGGCTGGAAAACTGGAAATATGTGTTATACAATCGCAAAAACAAAATAACGATAGAACGACGAATTCACAATATCAAATGCAATTTGTTGAGATGCGGAGCTTTAAAAATTTAGTACATTTATCACTGCCATGTGTTTTAGCACCATTAAATGTTGTGCTATTCTATATGAATACCATATTAGATTCGTTACAGGTATTAAATAGTGTAAAATATTTGCGTGAACTTATTAAAGTAATTTGATTTTTTTTTTTAGAAAAAAGCAGCAATACATGAGGTGACAGCACAACAATTACAAGTGGAGTCACATACCCACATTCGACATATAGAACAATTACAAGCAGAAAATTCTAAATTACGAGAAACATTATTGGAAAGTAAAAGAAATTCATCTCAGCGGCACGCAGATGAAATACAAAAATTAGAGGAAAACATACGTGATGTCTTAGACAATAGGAAGATTGACAATGAGCGTCATCGGAAGGCTCAACTAACAATGCAATTGCAGATTGATAAATTAACATTAGAGAAAGCTAATATACAAACCGAAAAACTGTATGTAGAGAATAACTGTTTAAATTATATCAAATCATAATGTATTTAATTTGCAGTCAAGATCAAAAGAAAATTGAAGCTCTAAATGAGGAACTGTGTGCAGTTAAGTCACATGTTGCACAAATGAAAGACCAAAATGAAACACTTCACGGTGAGCTGGCTTCCATTAGGAATGTAGAACGTAAAAATGAAATGCAACTAATGGATGCACGTAAACATATAACAGAGCTACAAGAGAAATCTAAGAAATATGAAAAATCAAAGGTAATCCAAAGAAAAGATATATATTTCATATTTACTTACTAAATAAATAATTAATAAATACTATTATGTACAGTCATCAACATAGGCATCACGGATTTGCTTTTATTTAGGATATTTAAATAATAATTAGACAAAGGTTATATAGTGTTAGGGAGGGTATATTAAACTTGCTAATATTCAATATTCAACATTTCTAATATTCAAAAGTTCTAATATTCGAAATTTTAACTTTTCAATACGTGTAAGTCTGTTCACTATGCTGATGATTAGTATATATTAACATATTTATATTAATATCTACTTTGATTTTATGTTATCCTCTTCAATTCCCACAGGCTGATATAATAGCCCAACTTGATGCAGAAAAGAACATCTTACAAACGAAACGACAAGCTTTAGAAATGGCTTCTGCGGAAATATCCAAAGCTAATGAGATAATAGTAAAACAAAACCAAGAACTTGTACGATTAAGGAAGACTGTGATTTGGCGTACTGAAGTTGCGTTACATCAAGAGAAAGCGGTCCTGGAGAAAGATAATATGTTAAAAGATAGTCAACAAAAAATTTTACTATTCCAGCAAACAATAAATACCTTACGACAAGAGATACCATTTCAGCTTGCTTCAATGCGTAAATTCGCCAATGAGTTGGAAAGCAAATATAGAGACCGTAAGAAAAAATGCTTTATTAATAAATATATTTTAATATTTACATTCATGACTATTTTAGAAATTCAGGCACTTAAACAAAAATTAGAATTACCGGACAAGGAAAACTGTGCAACAGTTGCAAATGTTTTGCAAATAAATAAAAGAACGTGACATTTATGTTTTATATTTTTAAAATTTTTATTACTGTTTGTTATATTTTATTATTCACAGTTCAAAATTATAGACTTATTCACTCTATGTTTAATGTTTAAATATATTTATATGTACAACATTCTCCACCGAAAGTTAATGTTAGTCTTTTATCATTTGCATTAGAAATTAGTTTGTGATGTGTTTAATTTGTTTCACAGTGATTTTAAGAAAGGATAGATCTTTTTCCGAAGCCATTAACCTGTTATGTGGATTTATTTCACATATTTGTGAAATTAAGTTTTGTCTTACTTTGTATCAAGGCAAATAAAAGACAAAGCGTAATATTACAGTTTTGTTTAGGAATTTATCCTACACACAAAGTAACGCTTCATTGGACTTGTCTAAGAAGATCATAAAGTATTTGCTTGTATAATGTTCTGCTTTAACAACTTTAAGACTATAGAATTTAGCAATACTGCTGGCAGATAACCTATATACCCTTACCAGCACCCAATTAAAATTTGTCAAAATTATTAAAAAATCAACATTGAAGAATATATATTTTTTAACAATATTACAATTGGTCGATAAATAATCTGTCGACGATGATCTACCGTAAAACTAAATTAACTTATCGGGATATGCAGAATTTGGTAGCATCATCATTTAAAAATTCACTGTAAAGTATAAAGCCTTGCAGTTCATATAATGGAATAGTATAGTGTGTAAGTTAATACGGATCTAACGTACCCAAATATGATAAGTATTTAACATAATATATGTATGTATATTAAAATATTTCAGTTGATATAATGCTATCATTATCAACGACACTACAACCGATGTACGTTTGTACGAGTTTTGGATCAATATGTAAGAAATAGTAAGACCATTGTCTTCTACAGTGGAAACATTAACGTTACGGCAAGGTCTTTGGATTTAAAGAACGTAGATAGACTAGTATGCTATGTTGAATTTAGGCAGCCATCTGTTGCTTATACAATGGCGTATAAAAGATAATATAGATCTGAGGTACCCAAGCAATATAAACGTGTAAAAAAGTGTTTTAATTCATATAATATACTAAAAAAAGCATACAATATAATAAGAAACTGATACTATAATGCAGTTTTCCACATTTTAAAATTGTTGTGGTCACTAATATATGATACTATAACATGTTTATTTACTCATATTATTAATAATAATCTCAGGAGATATCTTTAAATGACAAAAAGTACTATTTATGAACACATACATATTTTATTTGAATAAAAAAAATATCTATTAAAAACTATAAACTACAACTAAATTTCTTTTACGTTTCATCATCGTTATCTACTTGATCAGTTACATGTGCTGTGCCAACATTAACAGCTTGAAAAATATCTTGATCTTGGTTCTTTTTTAAACGTTCACGTATTAGTTCAGCTATAGCCTTCTGCGTACGTCGCTGTAGTATATCAAGTTTTTTACTAATTTCACGTTTTAAATCCCAATCTGGTTTACGTGGTGCTAGATTTGTTATGTCTATCTCGTCGACAGTCATCGGTTGTTGTAACAATTCCAATTGATTCTCAACCGCTTTTTCAATGTCACCGGTGGGTTCCTGTTCTAACACCTCAGCATTTGTGCTTTCATTAAGTGGTTTATAACTGCGAAACACTGGTCTGTAACAAATTAATATATTAACAAATTACGATTTCTTTAATAAAAAATTTATATTAATAATTTATAATAAAAAAAATTATTTACTTTGGTAGTTTCTCGCCACTTTCGCTATTATTTTTATTTGCTTTACTGGCTTGTTCCCGTAGTTTAAGTAACCGCTCTTTACGCTTAAATGATTGCTCTGTTAGTTTTCCTAAATTATTTTCATCGACCTCCATTATTTATTTATAACTTATTTATTATATGTGAAATAAAGTTTTTATTAAATATTTGTAAATAAAGACTGATTTGTCGCGGCATATAGTGTTGTAAAATGATGCTTTCTGTTTTAAAATAAAGTGGAGAATTAAATCATGACATACCCATATAAGTATAGTTGGTTGTTCACGTAAAACCAAATATTTTAAGTGTAAAATATTTTTTAACTACAAGAATTTCTGTTTTTTCTATTAGGAATCTATTATTTTCGGTAAATGAATATGTTGTAAATTTATTCTTAAAATTTTGGTTTGTTCAGTATTTATGTTCTTGCTCATTGTATGACATGATTTCCAACCAGTTCCAAATGCAAATGAATACATTGAACATATCCTTAGTGAAACTTATTCACGGCATTTAAACAGTTAGAGAACGCTGTTTTTGACATATTTACAAAAAAACGTAAACAAATATTTGGTGGTTGTATTTTCTTGATAACGATGCACCTCTTTTTGGAACTTCTACTTCCCAAAAAGTACTTAATCGAAGCTAAAAATAGGTTTTCAGTTTATATTTTAACGTTTGAAGATATATTTTACCTTCATTCAACATTTTTTTGGCACAGGCCAAAAATCAATTCAACAGGCACGTTGACAAATCAGCTATTTCAAATGAGAAGAAATGTTTTAATGACATTTTTAAATGACTGATTAGAAAAGCTACATTTGCGGTCTGTGTAATTGACAATCCTGGCAGCACTTTTAGCTTTCGCATTTCGATATAGCGATCAGTTCCTTCAACGATTTCGCTTTTATCTTGTCAATGGTGGGCAAAGAATGTTTTAAGGATTTTTTAAGGTTGAAAATAAAATGAAATTTTTATTTTCATAAATGGACTTACACAATAAATTTAATTTACTTTTTATGATATATTTTATGATATATTCTATATGATATATTGTTTTCAAATAGTTGATATGGAATAAATGTATCTTATTTGATTAATCGCCATTTTATTGCCAAATATAGACCAATACAAAATTATACTGAAGAATTTCATTTTAACTAGAAGTTTGTTTAATTGAAAATATATTTATTGATAATAAGCGCCCATATAATTTAAAAAAATATTTCTTTGCAGATATAAAAATTTAAAAACAAAAACAATTGTTAAACAAAGAGAACTCATACACTCACAATGCAACCCTGTCCTAAATTACAGCACATATGATTTTGTTTACAATTACGAACAGGTAAACACTCACCCTTAATTTGTTGTTGTTGTTGCGAAATTAGTAACGCAACTTTAAATGGTCTGAGTCTTTTACAGTTTGAGTTTGACTTTGCAAGCTTTTCGGTTAACTAGAAAAAATGATTGTACGACAATGCAGACAAAGAATTTTAAATTATTAAATATATTAGTGCTGTTGTCGATTGGAAATAGTGTACTTAGTGATGAATACAATCAGGAGGAATGGATAGAACCGAATGCATGGGGAAGAGAAGCCAGTTTAAGTGCTTTAAAGCGTTTAAATGACGCAGCTGAGGATGACGTGTGCCTTAAATGCAAAATACCAAATATTAATAATGATGCTGCCGTTTGCCCAGTCAGTGATAACACAGTTGCATTACTGCTTTTTAAGAAATTCGTTAAAAACTTATTTCAACGCAATAAATTTGAAGTGAGTTTAAAAAAAAATTTTACCAAATTTGCGCTCTTCTTATTGATAACAATAAGTTGATGACGTCATTTGCGCAACCGGCATAACTTACACTCTTAAATGTTTATTTATTTTTTACATTTTTGTGCTAATTAATGTCAAACATGTTTTGCTCAATTTTTAAGTTTGATGAATTTACTTCTCTCTATAAACGTTCTCTGGAATTCACAATTAAAGCTGAGCAATTGGAGAAGCTTGAAAATTTAAATGATCCACGCGATTTGGATACGGTTTTAACGGAAGTTTTCGCTAATGTTCGCAATGTCAAACAAACCAAAAGTTCCTTAACAGGAAATGACTGGTTAAAACCATTTTTGAATTTTTTGAAGGACTACATGCATTTGCTGCATACATCAGAGGTGAGCTATATTCTAATAAAATCAATTGCACATACAATAATATTGTTTAAAAGTTTATTATGAAACAAACAATTTTTAATTTTTAAACTAAATAAATTTAATTATAATTAATTTAGAATAGTTTTCTTTTTCCAATGGAGGCTTGTGTCTTACTTTATAACATCAATCAATCTAATTATTATAATGTATTTATATTTTAATAAAATTTTAAAATCAGTATTTATATTTTAATGAATTTTAGTATTTTATTAATTATATTTTTAATTTCAGACACAATTCTTATTAATCGCTATTGCCACAGTTATTTTTGGACGGATTTTGCACAAACGTTACAAAATTGGAGTTTTTGTTATAATTTTAGGTGTTGTATTCCTGTCAGGCTATGTTATAACATATTTAGAATGTAATCGGGTAATATTAATTAATTTAAAAAAAAAATGTATAAATAAAAAAATCTAATTTTAGGAACTAGAAAATACTCGAACTATAGCGGCAATAAAAAATATTGAAGAAAAAGAAGCAGTAAAAGATGTGCGTTGGTATAATCCAATCAGTTGGTTTGGCAAGAAGGAAGAAACATTAAGTGAAAAAATAATGTTAGTCATTTTTTAATAATAATAGATATTTATTTGGAATCTAATATCATAAATGAAGCCAAAATGCATCGTAGGGCCTAGCTTACTTCGTTCACTACACTATAAGATTGCAAATGATTTTTCAAAACTAAAGAAGCAGATCGTTCGTATCAGCAGAGAGGTTAAAAAAACCACAAAGTTAAAGTTGATGCAAAAAAAAAAATTCAAAAATAATACCTTCAATTTTATAAATCGTAGTCTGTGTAGTTGCCTCAGTCTTAAAGAAGTCTGTTCCGTTATCTTGCAAACAATAAAATTGCGACAAAAGTACATTCAAGTGGTTGTGGTACGCACACTCAACCACTATCTAAAATAAACGTATTGCAGATCTGCTGTAACTGTTCATAACTAATCACAATACAGAGCTTTAAATGACCTAAATAGGTCTCTGACCGTTGATGTTAACGACTGGTTGTAGAATGTGCATCCAATCCATATTAGAGCCGATCATATTATTTTATATTAAAGGTGGAAATCAACCAATACAGTTTCTACGCATGAATACACCGTGGATAACCTGGAAAAAATTACCAAAATTTTGTTTTTGATGTTTACGAGGTTCTGTAGTTGGTTTTAGTTGCAATGGTCGCTAATGAGCGACTGCCACTTTACTCCATCTAACCTAACTATTTCTGATATTGACCATTTATCATGTTTGAAGTGTTCGCCCAATATTTTAGAGGAAATAAGTGAGGAAATAAATTTGCAATATGTGAACTGTTCCAAATGCGTCAGAGTAAAGAAGAAAAAACTAATTGTAAAGAATTTGTTCAATACCTAATATATACGTTAATTGTAATTCTGGACCGCATTAAGCAGACTTAATTTATGTCTGTAACTTCAGATAACATTGATTTAATTCGATAATCATCACACAAGTTTCATTCCTCATGAACATTATTGCAATTCCCAACCTTAATCCATATTGCTCTTACTCGTATTATATTTCTTATATTAAATCCATTTGTCTGTTTTTTCAAGTTCTTGTGAATAAATTAGAAGATAGATTATAACAATAATAACATATAGGAATAAATAATATTTATAATAATGAAAAACATTTGTAACGCTTATAAATAATTTCATTTTTTGTATGTCATAATATATATTCATTCATACATATTATTTCTTTTATATTTCCAGGAAAACAAAAAAAATTCATATAAAATTTTGTCGACCCGATCATGTGCTTTTAATGTATTTTAATGATTTATTACTGAAACAATTGCAGTTCGTCATTGAAAAATGTACAGATACTATGGCTGTTTTTAGAGGTTTGATGTCTCTATACATATATACATATTTATATATATAATATTGTTCAATTTTAGATAAATTACCATTTGGCTTGCATTATTTTGCGGACATATTGCTATTAGTGCTACTTGGTTATCTTATAAAACTTACATTTAAATATATATTAAGTCCGAGAGCGTGGTCTGTTTTGTTGCACCGCCCTAAACATCAATCGATAGACACACATCCTCCACATTTGCATGGTCTGCCGCAATTAACGGAAGATAGAATATCGGGTGAAAATTTAAAATTACTTTTAAATGCTATAAGTAATACACCTAATATTAATAATGGCATACAACAGATAGCAGCTGCTTCTGGTGTGGAAGAAGTACAAGAAATGTTAGAAGCTCCTACACGCTCTAGTTCAAAATCCAATTCACCTAATTCTACTATAGACCAGATTGCATCCAGTGAAGTAGAATCCAACGTTCCATGCATAGACGAACTAAAAATTGATAATGCGGTTGAGAATACTAGTAAAATAAAAATATAAACAGAAATTTTCGCATGAAAAAAAATATAACTCAAAATAAGTTAAGCAAATTATGCTTATAAATATATGTATTAAATGAATTAAATTTTAATATTTTAAAACTGTGTTTTATGTTATCTTAATTAATGTAATAATTTTTTATTAATTTTATTTATTTGAATTTGTCGAGTTTTTAATTTATATGTAATATTTTTAGATTTATATACACAAAAAAATGAAAATTAAATAATTTATTAGTAATAGTATTTTGTGCATATATACATAAAAGGAAATGAACGAAGTGTAAAAAATTAAAATAAAATAAAGATTTTTATATGGGAATAAAATTGTATATGGTTTTTGAAATTTATTAGTTTTTCTTTATTTTTTAAAATAATTATTTGTGTATAAATATAGTTTTATAATAATAAAATACTTACATATTATTTAAATTAACAACAATATATGTTTTATAAGATTATATATATTGCAATTTTAATTTATTAATTTCCAGTTTCAGAACTAAATTAATTTTTAGTTTCAAAAATTTTTAATATTTTATATAAACTTTATTGTTTTACTTTAAGTAAATTCTTTGGTTTTTCTTAATATGTAAAAGCTATTAAATT